CAAAGTGGCAGCAAAGATCACAAGCTGCTTTTGAGAAATTTGATGTTGATAGAGATGGATTCATTACTCCAGAAGAACTTAAAATGGTTAGTATCGTAGTATGTGATATTTTTACTGTCTTCTCCCAGGAGCAATGGTTCATAGTATCTTGGATGTCAGTTATTACCATTAAACATGTCGTTGACCAACCCTACCAATCAATTAAACTATTAACTACCCCTCAATGCCAAACTAGTTGCTCTTTATGAATCCTCTGTGTAATTTAGATGATTAATCATTGAAGGGGAGACTTGGTGTAACTAGTAAAATTGTTGCCATGTGACTTGAAGGTCATGGATCGGACTGTGGAAACAACCTTCTGTAGAAATGCACCGTAAGGCTGTGTACAATAGACCCTAGACCCTTGTGGTCTGACCCTTCCCCGGACCCTGCGCATAGTGGGAGCTTAGTGCACCGGGCTGCCCCTTTTATCATTGTTAGATTATTTTTATGCTGGTAGTCACTTAGGATTGAGCCGTGGTTGATTGGTTAAATTGATATTTCTGGTGGTCATCTATCCACTGCAAACCTCCTTTCTCAGGCGCGAGACTTGATTTGCTTTGCAAACCTCACTGAGACGGAGATTGGACAACTCCAAATCAACGCCCCCTTTGGCACCCCAAGAAAAAGACAGAAAAGAGAAGAAGCGAGAGTTGCTAAGAATTATAGCATGCTAACTCAAAAAATTACATGCTTCATCACCCTTAAGAGTGATCCACGGAGTTTAGAAGGCTGTGATTGGTCCAAAGGGCGGGTCACAGACGAATTTCTCGGTTATCAAAAAAAATTAAAAATAACCACATTAATATTTGGCATTCACTTACATGATGCTATTCTTTGCAGCACACGGGCTTGAGAGGCTCCATAGATCCACTTCTAGAGGAAGCAGATATTGACAAAGACGGAAAGATAAGCATATCAGAATTTCGTAGACTTTTAAGAACTGCTAGTATGAGTTCACCAACGGTGAGAGATTCACGGGGTATGTAGCTTTGTAAAGATGTATAAAACGGAGAGATGGACAGTGGGCTTCATCAGAAAATTTTTGTGGGAAGACGATGCTTGTATACATGTTCTCTTGTGCTTGTGCAAGTGTGCTGCATGTTCTCTACATGGATGGCTTCCGAGATGATGGTATTTAGAGACGTGTAGCTATCACGTGGCACTTTGTAGCTAGCGGTCGTCGTGCCAAGTATGTTTGTTGAGTTTCCTTTGCCCCCTTCATAAAAGAATTTGGCATGAAGTTGCTTCTTTTCCCTGAACAACCAGTTACAATGTCTTGTAATCTGGTAGTTTTACTGTATATTCTGTCACTTTTGTGAGTCTCCAGGTTAAGTAAGTACTCCCTTCCAAATTCTAATATTATGTCATCACTATAAATATGCCATCAATGTAAATTGGCTGTATCAAAAAGGTTTGTTCTGTTCAGAAACTGTTGCCCATTTCTGTACCATCTTTAAGTACTTTGCCAATTAACATTGAAATAGTCTATCGAAAACAATCTTTCTCTACCCCATAAAGATGTAGGGATATGGTTTGTGTACATCCTAACCTCTTCAGATTTCACTTGTGGGACAACACTGTTATGTTGTTGTATGAACTAGTTTGGGATTGAGACGTTATTTATTATGAGAGGATACAAAAGCTAGAGTTGTGGGCCTGTGTTATATGCACTATAATTACCAAACATAGCAAAAGTTTTAATAAATTACCAAATATAGTGAGAGTTAATGAGTAAAATTTACTCTCTATCACTGATAATGTTATATTACTAATACATAGCGAGTTTTGCCACATTTGGTAACTATCCAAACTATCGCTATATTTGATATTGGGACAATTTCAAATATATACAATAAAGTAATTAGTTTACAACAAATATAAATATGTTTTATTTACATAAAAACTAGTCAAAAGTCATATAAACTATAAAAGAGTAAATGACATAAATAGTCCTTCAACTATAGGAGTAGGTCTAAAATGGTCCCTGAACTATACACTTAACAGATTTAGTCTTTTAACTATTCAAAAATTTGTCAGTTTTGGTCCCTTAATTATACACTTACCGGTTTTAGTTCTTTAACTATAAATTTACCGATTTTAGTCCTTTAAGTATTCACAAACTTATCAAGTTTGGTCTTTGTCCATTTTTTTTAATACAAATAGCTTTGGTTTTTAATACGCACCATCCTAAACTTTGATAGTTTTTGTTCGAGAAACTTATCATGCATCATGCTAATCAATGCGAATTTTATTTAATTTACTGAAATTTCTTTACATAAAATAAAATGAATAGAATAATAAAATTGATCTATTTTTAAAAAAAGTTTAAAAAATTGCAAATCTACCATTTTATAAATCACCATTTCTGAAAATTAAACAAATTCCGTTCAATGAAATCGTTGGAGTACAAACTTTGAATTTAACAGATAATAACTTTTTTCTTTTTATAATAAAGTTTAACATATTCAAGTCATTAGTAACAATAATATGCTTCATTTTATCCTCTGTTGAATAAAATTATGATTTATATTTTCTTTCCTCGTGAATTTAATTTTAAATCGTTGAGGTTAAGGTTTTTCGCGTAAGGTTAATTTGAAGAAAAAGTAACGGAGAGAGAACCAACAGAAAAAGTTGCTCAAGGATTTAATTTCTCGAGGCATAGATTCTGTTAATATAAACCTAAGCTATTTGAATTAAAAAAATGGACAAAGACCAAACTTGATAAGTTTTTGAATACTTAAAGGACTAAAATTGGTAAGTTTATAGTTAAGGGACTAAAATCGATAAGTGTATAGTTAAGGGACCAAAGCTGACAAGTTTTTGAATAGTTGAAGGACTAAATCTGTTAAGTGTATAGTTCAGGGACCATTTTAGACCTACTCCTATAGTTGAGGGACTATTTATGTCATTTTCTTCTCAAACTATACGTATACAATGTATCTTGTCAAAAGTCATTAAAAAAAATATATTAACTATACGTATATGAGCTATACATTGGCTATACAGATGATACAATCGAAAAGTTGAATATTATTTAACTATACATGAACTATATACATTGACAATACATTATGATATACTAAAAACTGAATATTTTTAACTATACATGAAGTATACAACTGACTATTCAATCTTGATCAACTCAACATCACCTCAAAACAATCCCAAATTTTAGATATAAAATCTTTTTAGTATTTCAATTTTTTAAAATATATAATTTGCTTAAAATGATTCACGTTTGCGGTACGTTGAATTAAAAAAAAAAAGACAAAGAAGGAGACAAAGAGAAGACTAAGGGGTCGTTTAGCCATGAATATGAAATCATGATATGAAATTATGACATGAAGTTGAAGTTTTGTTTAGACATATGATTTGGACTTTTTTATGGTGTATGTTTTTTTCATAAACATAAAAATCCACAAGTTGTAAAACTATTAAAATTATCCCAATTCTTTATACAATCTTACCAAATAAACAAAAGTCAATAAAGGCATAATATACTATCACAAAAATATTCTAAAAATATACAACATTAATTGATCAAACTTTAATTCAATAATAAAAAAATAAACTTGAACATAAGTTGTAGTGTATTAGTCTTTAATATAATCTTCCCATATACTTCCTCCATTTCAAATTAATTGAATTGTTGAGACATTTTAAATTTTTCAGATTAACTTAATTGTTCAGTTTTCAAGACCACTTTTAGAGTGTTCTTCCAATTTTACCCTTCATTAGTTAGTATTGAAATTAGTGATTAATTAATATTTAATTATTTTAATCATAAATTTGAACATAATTAATAAGGGTAAAAATGAAAAGTTATGCCTAATTTATGTCTTAATCTTTCTTTTCTTAAATAGTGTGAAACACCTCAACAATTCAATTAATTTGAAATAGAGGGAGTAGTACAGACAATTTTCTCACATTGAACTTACATTTTTTGATCACATGACCAAGATAACGAATCAACATTATTACTTAGAGCCATTTATCGATCAATTTGATTTGTAAATAAATTTGAGCCATTTACCCCTTTTTTTGGGTTTTTGGAATGGGCTATTTTGTATTGGGTGGGTCATGATTAGAGCCGTCAAAATGGGCTTGGCCCGCGAGGCCGGCCCAACCCAGCCCTTGAATTAAGTGGGGTTGGGCTTAATTTTTTTGGCCCATTTAGGAATGAGGCTTTTTAGCCCAGCCTCGTTTGGCCCGTAGCCTCGTAGGGCCAACCCGCAAGCCTCAGAGGCCAGCCCGTGGGCTATTAATTTTTTAAAATATTTTTTATATATATTTTTAGTAAAGATTTTATCAATAAATATTTTTAAAATATCAATATAAAATCAAGACTATATTTTTTTTATATATCTTTTACATTTTAGGATCATTAGCCCACTAAATTTTCTTATTAGCCCAAGTTCATTGCTCCATTATAACTATGAATCTTTGACCTCCTTTACTTTTGTTTTATGCCTAATTTTTCACTTCTCCTTTATTGTCTTGTTTATGAAAATAATGATCATGTAATGTTTTTTTTGTTCGGATGAATCTTATGAATGTTGTATCTTGGCTATAATGTATTTGTTTTGTAAATATTCACTGAAGTATGTGTAATTCATGAATGAATTTATGTATGTATTGATGTCGTGTCCATCGAACATCGACGTTTGTATCCTTTCTAAGAGAAAAATGTTGTCCGTTTTTTGGTTGAAGGGTCAACCCGTCCCAACCCGTGGCCCGCTTAGGGCTGGGTTGGACTGCTATTTTACCGGCCCTTTAATTAAAAGGGCCAGCCCGTCCCAACCCATTTAACTCTCTAGCCCGTTACATTTTGACAGCTCTAGTCATGATTCATGAAAGAATGCTTTTTCATACATCTCAAAACGACGTCGTTTGTTTCCCCTCCTCCGTACGAAGAGTAAACAACAATGAAGGAAAAACTGTTTTCCGCACAGTTGCTTTACTACTACTGACCTCCATTGTCGGTTCTGCAATCTTCTGATGAATTGAATTGCATTGGAAGAAGAATGAAGATAGTGACGTACAACGTGAACGGTTTAAGGCCACGCATACAGCAGTACGGTTCACTTCTCAAATTGTTGGATTCACTTGATGCTGATATTATCTGTTTTCAGGAGACTAAGTTGTCGAAGCATGATCTTAGAGCCGATTTGGTTCGTGCTGAAGGTTATGAGTCTTTCTTCTCTTGTTGCACTCGTACTTCTGATCGTGGACGCTCTTCTGGATATTCCGGTAAGTTTCATGTTTAATATCTCCTTTTTTTTTTTTTTTTTTCACATTTGTGTTAGGGCTTGTGTTTGCAATTTGAAAAAAAAAACTATTTTTTTTAAGGGTGAGTTTTGGATAGCTTTTAAAAAAGTGCTTAAAGTTTAATAAAGAAATGGACTTTGGGTCTAAGGCTATCCCAAAAGCTTTTTGGGGAGGGTTATACAACACCATATAAGGAGCTATGTGGGAGAATCCAACACCCTGCACAGTGCACACCCAAGAGGACAATATAAGGTGGTGGGATGAGCTCGACTCTGATACATGATAAAAAAATGGATTTTGGGTTTAATTCAACCCAAAAGCTTGCTTATGAGGTGGGAGAGGATTTTCCAACATAAAAGGAGACCAAACACCCATCACGATGTGGGAGAATCAACACCCTGCATGCCTAAGACCAGATATCTGAAGCTCAGTTGCTCGGACTCTCCAAAAATGTTGCTGCACTAGTGTCGGATCCTCTAAAAATGCACTACTTTTGAAGGGTCTGACATGCACCTAATGTCATTTTTGAAGAGTTTGACCAACATAGATTTGGAGCGTGTACAATATAAGGTGGGGCCCTACATCGGGTAACTAATGAATTGGGATAAACCTGAGACTCTGATAACATGATAAAGAAGTGGACTTTGGGCCCTAACTAAACCTCAAAAACTAGCTCATGAGAGAAGAATTGTCCAGGTTCATATAATGAGACCAAACACCCATCCACAACCCATGTGGAAGAATCAACACCCCTTCACAAGTCCTAGACACCAACTTTAGGTAAACAATGAATTGAGATATGCCTGATCCAGATACCATGATAAAGAAATGAACTTTGTGCTTTATTCAATATCAAAAGCTAGCTAATGAGAGGAGGATTGTCCAAAGAGACCAAACACAAATCAACAATTTTTTTATTGGAATGAAATATGCCCGAAAGAAGTGGAGAGTTATCGAGTATTGGAGCGGAATATGAATTAGAGGGGAACATATGTAGAGGATTGATACAAGTGGCCTAGGTTGAGGTGGAGGGCCTGAGCGAGAATTTTCACTAAGGGGATTCAAGTATAAAGAATTAAATACACGAAAAAATCAAGGAGATTCAACATCTATTTTATATACATATAAATAATTGTGACGTTGTATACAACATTCAGCCTCCCTTCTTGAGGTGTAGTTGATTGTTTGATAGGTACTCTAAATTTGCATTATTCCATTCCGTGTCAATCTCAGCTGAGTTAATTTTTTCAATGAATTGTAGCTGAACTGATCTTAACCGATAGGGAAACTTTGGACTAGCTCAATTACAGGGTGCATATGGTATGGATGAGCAGCTCATTTTTGATAAATTTGCAGCAACTGAAAATAACCTGACACTGGAAAATGATTTCATCTGAGAACATTTTCGTCATACCTACAACACCCTGCATCTCTCTCTGTTTTCATTGTCTTTAGGATTATAAAAGTTTCTTTGCATGGAGGGCAACTGTTAAGGTTGTAAATGGAAGGGTTGATCAGATTCCTTAATCATTTTGTAGTGTCAAATTAAATTTCCTTTGTCCCTTAATTCTCTGAATGTGTCAAAGCTGGAAATTATTTTTTGCCTTTTTATTTTTTTCTCCCTAAAGAACTCGTTGAGTGCTGTTGATGTTGATGAAACATAGAGTGTCTTAAGTCTTATGGATTGGAAAGAAAATAATAAAATCTTGTGGATTGTGGATAATGTGTGATCAACAAGGATAAGCTACGCTTGGTGAAGCTTAAGGAATTTTTTTCTTGTATAATTTTTGACATTTCTCTTAAGACTTGGTATGTCTGAAGTAGGACAATGTAGCTAATGAAACAAACGATCGATTTTATGTCTATTTGTCCAGGTGTTGCTACCTTTTGTCGTGTAAAATCTGCATTCATGAGCAATGAAGTAGCTTTGCCAATTTCTGCAGAAGAAGGCTTCACTGGTCTCCTCGCAACATCTAAAGGATATGAACCTAGAAAGGAGAAGTGCCCTTCAATAGCTGAAGGCCTCGAGTGCTTTTCTAGAGATGAGCTTCTTATAGTTGATAGTGAGGGACGTTGTCTGATCACTGATCATGGTCATTTTGGTGAGTACATGCTTTCCACGAAAACGACAGGGATGTCTGATTCTTAATAGTAATATAAATCACAGTCTAAAGTTTTTTTTCCGAGCCTTGTCCTTCTCTTTTTTCAACTCGCTATGTGATATAACTCTTCAATTTTCTTAAAAAACTTTTCCTTAATGTTTTGTTGCACATTCAAGTATCTTATTTCCTACCACAGTTTGGTGATTGACAAATGTTTTCTTCTTGCAGTTCTATTCAATTTATATGGGCCCAGAGCTGTTCAAGATGACTCTGAAAGAATCCAATTTAAGCTCACATTTTTTAAGATGTTAGAGGTAATCAATTCCCACTTCGGTTTTCAAATTATGAGAACCTGAGAAGTGATATTTTCTCCTATTTTCGAATATAAGATTAGCTTTTGCTTTATTGATGAGGATGTCTTGCACCAAATATCTCAAGCATCCTGTATTCTTATGTGTTGTGTTGTTTTCCTTATTGGTCATAAGTTCACTACAGAGGTCCATTTGAAGTTTTAGTTGCACCAAATCTTAACACAGATTATTGGAATGAATGGGACCCAAATAGAGCAGAAAAGATATGGAGAATTCATATAAACAATCCCAACTAATTTGGGATCAGAGTGTATTTGATCTAAATGTTAACGTAGAAAAGATTGCTGTCACACACAACATTAAATATGGTGGGTGCAAAGGCTTAGAAAATGGATCTGAGTACTTCAGAAATCCTATTTGGACAATGTTGTGGGAATCCAATGTAGTTGCCTCATTGTTGTCATTTACCTAGGGATCAAAATCTCGACCACGGCATGACTGTGGCTTTGGAAAGTATCTGTGTTATCTGGGATGTAAATTTACAATTCTTTAGGTGGGAGAAGGTTGTTGTTGAACTCTCTTTTTTTTATATTTGTAGTTGTTCTAGTCCTTTAGGGTGTAATGGCTGAAGGATTGAATATATATGGATGTAGTATATGATGAAGGATGTTTGGAATCCGGGGAGCTAGTATCATGCTTCAATTGCTTGCTTGCTACATGGTACATTAGTTTTGTAGGTTGGTTTAATAACTTTTCGGAATAGGAGATGAATCGTAGCAGAAATTAGGAAGACTCCTACTGCAAGATGAAGAATCTTTTTGGGATTTCAGTTTTAGGAGGAACTTTCTAGACTGAGAAGTGTCGTAGTTCCAAAATCTAGTTGAGCTACTTCACAAACAAGGAACACCACAGAATAGCCAGGATGTATGGAGGTTGGAGGGGGAGAGGGGCAATGGATTGTTTTCTGTTTGGTCATTCTATGAGAAACTCCTTGTTAGGAAAGAGGTTGCATTTCAACATAGATTGGTTTGGATTCCAAAGGTACTGAGAAAGATGTGTTTCTTCCATTCACTTCTAAGAAGAGGAGTGATATTGTCGGTAGAGTATCAAAGGAAGAGGAAGGTTACGTACATTAGTTGGTGTTTTATGTGTAAAAGCTCGAGTGAAGGCGTCGACCATCTCCTCCTTCATTGCCAGGTACCCTTGAGGTCATGGTGAGAATCCTGTTGGTTTGGACCATCTCGAGTTATGCTAGACACGGTAAAAGAGTTAATGTTCAGTTGGAATTGCGATAGATGGAAGAGAAGACACAGGGCATAGAATGTTGCTCCACTAGCTCTTATGTGGGTCGTTTGGAGAGAAAACTAGGTGAGCTTTTGAAGATGTTGAGATGAACTTTATACAATTGAGGAATGATCTCTCCCTTTTTTGGTGCACCTATGAGGTTCCTTTGTGTATAGAAGATTGAAGGTTTTTGTAGAGAACCATATCTTTTTTGTAGGTTTTCTACTCTTTTCTATACTAACTGTATATGGGCGTTTAGAGTCCATACGTCAATAAAGATATTACTTCATCAAAAAAAAAAGGAAAAAGACATGGCTAATTCCTCAAGGATGACTTGGTCATTCTTCTAGAGCTCTTATCGTTTTTGTGGCATCTTGAGCCCTCTTGGTGATAGAAACTAGATAGGTGGCTATGGTTGGTGTCATCCTTTGGTGTGTTTGTTTACTTAAATTTCTCCTTTCTTTTAAAGAGAAGGATTGGAAAAAACAAGTTACCTACTATATTTTTTATAAAGGGACAAGGAAATGAAAGCATCAATTTGATTGATGTTTTTACTAACATGCTTTACGGCCGCTTATTTATGGTTGTTTAATGCTACTTCAGTGACCTGTACTTCTCTTTCTATTTTGTTAACCAATTATTTCTGCTATTTACACATACGTGCTGTCTTTTCATGGGTATTATGTCTATTACCATACTTCTTCATTGACTGCAGAAATTGCCTGTTATGTACATTGTAAACCTGCAATTCTGAACTTCACACTCTTTGCTTCATACTAGTAATCTTTATGTAGAGAAGATGGGAGTGCCTCATGCATCAAGGAAGGAGGATTATTATTGTAGGTGACCTCAATATTGCTCCTGCTTCCATAGATCGGTGCGACGCAGAACCTGATTTTGAGAAGAACGTGTAAGCTGTTTCCTGAAATTTTTTATATGCAATAACAGTTACCAGTTTAAAAAAAATAATATTTTTTATATGCACTATATAAATTAATTCTTTTGTATCATCTTTTAAGAACAATTCATTTTAGTAAATAGTTAATTTTCCCTGCGTTGCAGGTTCAGACAATGGTTTAGATCATTGCTAGTGCAAAATGGAGGGCGTCTCCTTGATATTTTTAGAGCAAAGCATCCTGATAGGTTTCTCTCTTTCTATTTATGTTTACTTTTGTAATTTCTTAATCCTCACTACACGGCAAAGGGGAAATGGGAGGAAATCATGTCCGATGTTAATTCCTATCTATCTTAATCATTCACTGCACATTTTTTCTAAAAAAGACACATGGGATGAGTTTTTCTTTGATTCTCAAGGTTAATTAAGAAGTAAGAGTATTCATCTTGATTTCCTTTAAATTTTGTATTTCTTGTCATCTTATTTTATGAACCTTTTGTTGACTTCATCTAGTATTTTGCTACAGAAAAGGAGCCTATACTTGCTGGTCACAGAGTACAGGAGCCGAGGAATTTAATTATGGTTCTAGGATTGATCACATACTTAGTGCCAGATCATGCTTGCATGGTGAGGAAACTCAGGAAGGGCATGACTTTGTTACTTGCAATGTTGCAGAGTGTGACATATTGATGCAATTTCAAAGGTGCAAACCTGGAAATACGCCAAGGTAAACATTTAGCTATTCATAATATGGAAATTACATAATTGCGATCTGTAATTATAGACAAGTGAGGATAGTTCTGAAAGATAATAATTTTACTTAGCAGCTCTATGTCAGTATTCCTTAGTTTGATCAGATAACCTGGATGCTTTGCTGCGATGGAAAGAAATGTGCTCTCTTAAATCTGTCATGTTACAGTTTCTGTTTGATCTGTCATGATGATTATAGCAAGTAAATTCCAACTAGTACCCTTAGTTATCACTCTTTTCCCGTGAAAATATATAGTGCAAAAGAGAACCTCTGGCAGTACCAGATGAGTTAATCACATACATGATATTGGCCAACTTTTATTGGGTTTTCAATTGTTCATTATTGTTCATGTTAGCAACTGTTATCACTCATGGTTGTCTGGTAACATGGTGATTGAGGATCTGGCAATCACACTTTAGATATCTACACTCCACAGGTGGAAAGGAGGGAGGAGCATCAAATTAGAAGGTTCTGATCATGTTCCAGTTTACATGACTTTAGTAGATATTCCTGAAGTATTGGAGCATAGCACCCCGCCATTATCTACCAGATATCATCCCCAGGTCTTTGGGAGTCAAACTCTTGGTGAGACTTTAGTCAAGTTACATTAAAATATCAATTTTCTTGGAGACGCTCTTGTGTTTGTTTAACTGGAACTTTTTTGATATAGATATCTCCTCACACAATTCACAATCACTTTATATCAAGTTTGATGTTATTGTTCCAAAATTAATTTCCAGAATGTTATAGAAATCTTTTGCGTGATGTGCAAATAAAAAGTATTGGTTTAATATTGATGGGGGTAGGTAGCAATCAAGCAGCAAACAATCGCTTGCAGCTAAAGCTGTTTTCTTCTTCTTTGGGCTTGTGAATGCTGTTATTTGGAGGAATTTAGTTAACTGACGGCTAGTTAATGTTCATGCTAGTTGCCTAGTGGATCAAATCAATCTCTTATTTCTTCTTCAAGTTTAAATCAATTCAAAACAGAAAGAGTAGAAGAGAAATCAGTCACTTAGATTTTCTTTCTCTCTCTCTCATTCTAAAATTAAATTAATTCATTTAGCAAGCTGTTAGTCTCAATTACATTTTGTCTCCCAGAAGAGAGGTCATCATAATATTGAAAACTAGAGGAAAGTCCTGGGAATTTTACTTTGAGAAAAATTAATTTAACTTATATCTTCTATTATGCCAAAGGCTTTTAAATAATTAGAAGTCAGTTATTGCAACCAAAAGGATCATGTATGATTGCCAATAAAGTGATGCGTGGGGTTTGTGATGTACATATACATTACTATGACTGATGTTCCATGTTTGGTCAAGTATAACTAGCTGAGTCTATCCACTCACCTAGTTGAGTTTATTTATCAGTCATTTAAAGGGTGCCCTCTTGACCATCATGTAAACACTAATAAATTATGTTCAGTTTGGTTTTTGTAAATATGGCGCAGCATTGCGCTCTGTGTTCAGTTTATCACATTGTAGTTTGTCTTTTGAATTTCCTTCTCAAAAGTGCAGTGTCAATGTTCACGAGAAGGCAAACAACTGAGCAAGTTATTTCAGAGGAAAGTGAAAGCCGTCAGATTCCAAGTCAGGAAGACTTTCTCTCAACTCCAGAGAAATATGGTAGTAGAGCTTCTCAGATTTCGGTGCTTGGCTCTCAAAGCAACGCTAATATTCTTCCCTGCATTGCGACCAAGAAGAAAGCGAGGCTTGGTCAGGGGTCTCAGCTCACACTTAACTCATTCTTCCAGAAACGCACACATAGAAGTGAGACTTCTAGCAGCAGCTTTGCTGATTCTAAACTTTGTCAGACAGACATATCTTATTCTCAGATTGAGCCTGATGGAGTGCCTTCTGCTGCTGATGAAAGTGGCGCTTCAAAGGACTGCAGATCAAGTGCAATTGACAATAATCAACATAAGTGCCAGCTAGATGCATGCGACTCAGATAAAGAGAAGAGAAAAGTGGCATTACAGGAGTGGCAAAGGATTCAGCAATTGATGCAGAATAGTGTACCTCTTTGTAAGGGCCATCAAGAACCTTGTGTTCCTCGGGTCGTTAAAAAAGCAGGGCCCAATTTGGGCCGCAGATTTTATGCCTGTGCTCGAGCTGAGGTATGCTCCATTGTTAGTGGATTGAGTTTAATACTTGGTAGCAATGGCGTAAGATATTTAGAATTACCAATTTAAGTTCTCTTTTTTTATGAAGTAGTTGTTTCATTTCTGGAATCAAGAAGATGGAAGTTACAAAAGTAATCAGTTGTTATCTTGATTACATTGTTTCACAGTTCAGGCCCAGAGAGCTAACCAAAAATATACAGAAGAACAAAAAGTTGAGGGATTAAGCTAGATTGAGTGAGCTGGATAATCTAGGAAGATAACAACACTATTTACAGGGGGGTGGGGGGAGTGTTCCGGCTAAAAAGATGCAAAAGGCATTTACATTTGAGAAGGTTGTTTGGAGTTGAAAAGCCATAAAAACATGTTTGATTCCTTTCTTTCTATAGACACCAAAAGATACAGGCTGGGATCATCTTTCAGAATTTCCCCATGGTCCTGTCAACTTTCCATTTACAACACCCTTCCAATAGCATCCTATACCCTAAGGTGGAGTCCAACTTAATCCAAGATTGATCGACATACTTTCAGCCACCGGATAGTGTAGGAATAAATGATTGATGAACTCTGAGTTGTGCAAACACAAGTAGCATCTATTGATCAATTGGAAGTTCCTTTTACAGAGATTGTCTTGAGTTAAACAGGCTCTTTTGAGAGCTATCAATGTGAAACATATAATCGTTCTCGGCAGCTTTGTCTTCCAAATAAGCTTCCAAGACTCAATGATTGCATTTGTTCACTAAGGTGTTTGTAGCCTATGTTGCTCGGACTCTTCAAAAATACCACCGGGTGAGTGTTGGATTTTCTAAAAGTAGTGCATTTTTGAGGATCCGATACGGATGCAACACCAACTTTGAAGAGTCTGAGCAACATAATTTGTTGCCTGCTTTGATGGTATAATAATGGAATATCAGGGTTCAGGAGAGACACAATGGCCATGGAGAACTATGTTGCTCGGACTCTCCGAAACTGTTGCCGCACTCGTGTCGGATACTCCAAAAATGCATTACTTTTGGAGTAGTTGAGACACCCGTTGGTATTTTTGAATAGTCCGAGCAACATAGATGGAGAATGATTTGGAAATCAAGGCTCCCCCAGAAGTGACTTGTTGCACATGAATTGCAGCATGAGGGTTGTTTAATGCAGGACAACTTACAAAGAAGAGGGATCTGTATTGCGACACTTGTGATCAAAATGTGTCTCATTTGCTTTTGCTTTGTTAATGTAATTGGTAGTTGTGGTGCTAATTCCAAAATCCTTTTGGGGTACAATGTGAAATGCCAAATTCAGTGAGAGGTGCACTGGAATGTTGGGAGGAGCAAAAAGTTAAGGACATTAAAAGGTCTTGTGTAATCCTTCCGCTCTATCTTTGGAATGTGTGAGTAGAACAAAATCTTTGATGTTTTGGAGGAAAGTGTAAGACTGCGCTGCTTGTAATATGGGACTTCTGCTGTCTTTTGGTTTCTAGTGTAAATAATATAATATACATAATCTGGGTACTCTTATGAACTTTTAGGACTCTGTTTTACTTAGCTACAAGAGTTCCAGTGTTATTTAAATGCACTCTCATCATTGTCAAGATAATAATAATAATAATAATAATAATAATAATAATAATAATAATAATAATAATTATTGTTGCATTGTCTGGGTAGTATTTAATAAAGTTATTTCTCTACTTATCAAAATGAAATGAATGATGAGCACCCAAGGGTGTGGCCTAGTGGTCAATAAAGTGGGTTGAGCACTGAGGTCTCAAGTTGACAAAACACTAGGTGATTTCTTCCCATCTGTTCTAGCCTTGGTGGGAGGTGTTAGGTATCCTGTGGAATTAGTCGAGGTGACGCAAGTTGGCCCGGACACCATGGTTATAAAAAAAATAAAAATGAAGTGGATGGCAGGTTTTATCGTTGCTGTAATTTTCGCGTTTATCTCTGTCGGAAGATACTATGGAGCTGAATGTGAAATTTGCATCTCTTTCTAATTTGTTTGACTTCATATCATCTTTGGGTTTAGCGACCACATTTTTGACATCCTAGAGTCATTGTATTATTTGCAAAGAGAATGAGTGGTAGTCTCAAGTCTCAACTCTCATGAGGTCTTTTCATGTAGCATCCTATGAATGGTGTAATTTATGTCTAATAGGAGATTTGCGCATGTATCCTTCTATTTTCCTGAATTTGTTTTTACAAAATCCACATTCTCTATCTCAGGGACCTTCATCAAATCCTGAAGCAAATTGCGGTTACTTCAAATGGGCTGCTGTTTTAAAATCCAAGGGAAAAGGAAAATGAAGTCTCCACTGCATATATTCACCTACATGATAATGAGAGTTCAGGTTAGCAAATTGCAGTTACTTCAAATGGGCTGCTGTTTCAAAATAGATTCAGTTTTATTTTTGAATCGGTATTAGCTGAAATTATCTAACATAATTTAGATGTTTATTTGGGCGAAGAGTTCTTCTTTTCTTTCTGCTATTGTATTCTTTGACATAATTACTTTTCAATTAGTCATCTTCTTTCACAACTTCACATTTCCTGCATGCGGGGGTATGAATTTCACATATGAAGTTTTTGGTTGATTGTTGAGCTTTCTAGTATTAATTTAATTGCCTGGAGTTCTTAGCTTATCAAATAAGTGAAAAGATGGATGATGTCTAACTGTCATACATATTATCATGTCCAAGATTTTAGAAGGAAATCATTAGTGACCTTTACAGAATTTTTATGTGTTACTAGAATTACCAAGTTTGGAAGTGTGAGAAATATATGGGAAAGATATTATTGAATTGTGTATCTAAATTGTTACATTGAGACCCTATTTATAGACAATACATTGAAATCCTTTTCTAACTAGGATTCCTATTCTTCTTCCTATTCTAAGTAGGAGTATATGTACATATTTCTATTCTAACACTCCCCCTCAAGTTGGTGCATACAAATCATATGTACCTAGCTTGTTACAGATGTAATTAATACGAGGATTTGTGAGGGACTTGGTGAAGATATCTGCAAGCTGATCATTTGACTTCACAAATTTCGTAACAATATCTCCTGAGAGTATCTTTTCTCTGACAAAGTGACAGTCAATCTCAATGTGCTTAGTCCTTTCATGAAACACTGGATTTGATGCAATATGAAGAGCTGCTTGATTGTCACACACAAGTTCCATCTGATCAATTTCGCCAAATTTTAGTTCTCCCAGCAACTATTTGATCCAGACTAGCTCACAAGTTACTGCTGCCATTGCTCGATATTCTGATTCTGCACTAGATCGAGCAACCACACTTTGTTTCTTACTCTTCCACGACACCAAATTACCTCCTACTAAAACACAATATCCGAATGTCGAACGTCTATCAGAGGGTGATCCTGCCCAATCAGCGTCTGTATATCCAGTGATATGCTCATGACCTTGATCCTCATAGAGTAGTCCTTTACCAGGAGCTTACTTTATATATCGCAAGATACGAACAACTGCTTCCCAATGACTATTACAAGGGGAAGTCATAAACTGACTTACAACACTCACAGGAAAAGAGATGTCAGGTCTAGTTACTGTGAGATAGTTCAATTTTCCAACGAGCCGTCTATACCTTTCAAGATTACTAAGTGGCTCCCCCTGTCCTGGAAGGAGTTTAACATTCGGATCCATAGGAGTGTCAATAGGTCTACATCCCATCATTCCCGTCTCCTCAAGAATGTCTAAGGCATACTTGCGTTGAGAAATAACAATACCTGATCTAGACTGAGCAACCTCAATACCTAGAAAATACTTCAATCTGCCAAGGTCTTTAGTCTGGAAGTGCTTAAAGAGATGTTGCTTCAATTTGGTGATACCATCTTGATCATTACCAGTGATAACAATATCATCAACGTACACAACCAAATAGATACACTGATTTGGTGCAGAATGCCGATAAAACACAGAGTGATCAGCTCCACTACGAGTCATGCCAAATTGTTGAATAACTGTGCTGAACTTCCCATACCAAGCTCTAGGAGACTGCTTCAGACCATAGAGTGACCTACGCAATCGACATACAAGGCTACTAGACTCCCCCTAAGCAACAAAACCAGGTGGTTGCTCCATATAGATTTCCTCCTCAAGATCACCATGTAAAAAAGCATTCTTAATGTCCAACTGATGAAGAGGCCAATGACGAACGGCTGCCATAGATAGAAAAAGACGGACAAATGCTATTTTAGCCACAGGGGCGAAAGTGTCGCTATAATCTAGCCCAAATATCTGAGTATACCCTTTGGCAACAAGGCGAGCCTTAAGCCGATCAACCTAACCGTCTGGACCAATTTTGACTACATAAACCCAACGATAACCAACAGTAGATTTACTTGCAGGAAGAGAGACAAGCTCCCAAGTACCACTCTTATGCAAAGCAGACATCTCATCAACCATAGCCTGCCTCCATCCAGAATGAGAAAGTGCTTCACCTGTAGTCTTAGGAATGGAAATAGAAGACAAAGATGATACAAAGGCATAATGGGGTGATGATAGACGATGATAACTCAAGAAGGTATAATGAGGGTTAGTATTTCGAGTGGATCGTATACCTTTTTGAAGTGCAAGTGGTTGGCTAGGAGGAGGCAAGTCCGCAGTACGAGCAGGGTCTGGCGCAAGACATGAATCATCTGGTACTAGAGCTGGACGCGGACGACGATGATAAGTTAGGAGTGGTGGCACTACATCTGGAGATGTAGAAGTAATCGCAGATTCCTCAAAAGTTGGTACAGGTAAAACCTGAGGTATGGGTAAGACCATAGAAACATTAGGATGATCAGAAGACGTATAGTAAGGCTGAGACTCAAAGAATGTAACATCAGCGGACATAAGGTAACGATGAAGATCATGTGAATAACAACGATACCCTTTTTGAACTCGAGAGTAACCAAGAAAGACACATTTGAGGGCACGAGGGGCTAATTTATCTTTCCCTGGAAGAGATTGTGAATAAACAATATCGGACAAAAGTGATTTATTACCAGAGATATGATCAGAAGCCCCTGAGTCCATGACCCATGATCCAAGAGTACTAGACTGTGACACACAAGCAAAAGAATTACCCGCAACAGAAACATCAGGTTGTGCAACCGAAACTACTTGTGGAGACGTTTGTTTATTTGCACGATATTGAAGGAACTCATCATATTCTGTCTGAGCAATATGAGCATTATTGGATGGTTGATTAGGTTGAGCACCATATGCTACTGGTCGAGATGTCTGTTTACTTGCGCGATTTCGAAGGAACTCATTATATTCCTTAAGAACAATAGGATCATAACTGGGTGGTGGACCATGCAAAATATAACATATATCACGAGTGTGTCCAGGTTTATGACAATGACTACACTTGGATCGAGGTTTTCCCAAACGCCCTCCCCCTCGCCGATTCTCCATAGACTGATATGTACGCTTTTCTGTGGTTTGAGATGCAAGAATAGAGGAGTCATCCACTTTGTGACTGGAAGGTGCAGCAAGACAAAGCAGACGAGAGAATAATTCATCAATTGAGGGAACTGTAGGACTGGCTAGAATCTGGTCACGCACAGAGTTATGGTCAGTAGGAAGTCCAGCAAGTGTAAGAACTAGAAACAATGTATGCCTTTGCTCTTGTTAATTTTCCACGTTTGTAGTGATAGGCATCAATGTTTCAAATTCCTCCATGACTGCCTGTACTTGTCCCAAGTAAGTAGACATATCGGATTCTTGTTTCTTTAAGTTGGTCATCCAAGATATCACATCATAGAATCGAGATATGTCATTAGTGTATAAAGCACGTGCCTTTTCCCAAACTAAATAACATGTCTGGGATGGGCGAAACAAGGGCATCAACTTAGAATCAATAGAGCGCCAAAGGAGACTACATAATTGGGCATCCACTTTCTCCCATTGTGCTTTGGCTTTTGCACCTTCGTCACTAGACTTTGTCTTTTCATCTTCAACCCAAGCATTGTTTGTTAAGTGATCGTGAATACCTTGACCTTTGCACCACAACGCAACTGAAGAAGCCCAAGCTAAATAGTTTGAACTTCCCATTAATGGTTCTGAAGTGATTGTAAGGCTTGAACTTCCAATCCCCGTATTTTTGGAGCCAAAAACATCACATCCGAAAGACATTTTTCGAAATTTGACTTGAAAAGAGCTGGAAACTGCCGGAATCTACCCACAGTGGCTTGAAAAATCTGATTTCACCGGGAACTCGCCGGAAACTGCCTGAAAATCACCGGAACCCTAATTCCGGTGATCAGATCTAGAGAAAACTGAATGGAATCTGGTCGGAAATACTGGGCGACCTCAACAGAAGAAAACAGCTCACAAAAAGATGACTGGAGCAGCAGTCACGCGCCAGCGCGTGGACAGATCTCGCCGGGAAGTTTCCACCTCCGACCGGCGCGTGGGGGCGCGTGGGGTGTTGTTTTTCGGTGGATCTGATTGGGGTCTGGTCGCCTGAGCTTCCCGAGCCTCGTGATGGTGTTGTCTTTCGCACAACACCTTCAGAACGAAAGATGACACAAATCAGTCCCAACCGTCGTCGCCGGAATTTGATACGATGACTTAAAATTTCTCACCAATGCTCTGATACCATGTGAGAAATATATGGGAAAGATATTATTGAATTGTGTATCTAAATTGTTACATTGAGACCCTATTTATAGACAATACATTGAAATCCTTTTCTAACTAGGATTCCTATTCTTCTTCCTATTCTAAGTAGGAGTATATGTACATATTTCTATTCTAACAGGAAGCAAAACCGTTCGTCGCATTAAGTTGGTCATTTTTAGGTTCTTAAGTATATTTTCCATGCTCTGAAGATATTGATTTGGTTTGAGAAGTGTTCATAAAACAAAACCTGGTGAATTTGGTTGTTAGTTTCAAGCTAGAATGATGTTGATTAGTTAGACATGATTAATTTTCTGAATTTACATGAATGCTTTCATTGAGATATGGATATTTTAAGAAATGGAACTTTGTTATAATTTCTGGTTAAGGAATTTAATAAAGAAAATGTAAGCTCACATAGGATTTGAAGTAATCATGTTTTTTTTTTCTTGAGAGACAATAGTCAGACTGGCTTATTAGACAAGAGGGGTTGCTCGGATGGTAAACACCCTCCACCCCCAACAACAGTGAGGTTGTGGGTTCGAGTCACCAAGGGAGAAAAAGGGTGGGAGCTTCCAAGGAGAGGTAAAAATAGACAAAGGACTGACATATTGGGACACTAAATAATTGACACGACGGAAGGGTATATCTGGGCCATTTGTGTAAAGACTAGAGTTATAAATATTTCACTTTTTCAACGAAGGGTATATCAGCTTTACAGAAACCAA